GTTGAGGATTGGGGCCTTCGTAGGGGTGAGGGTTGGGGCCTTCGTAGTGGTGAGTGTTGGGGCCTTCGTAGTGTTGAGGATTGGGGCCTTCGTAGTGGTGAGTGTTGGGGCCTTCGTAGTGTTGAGGATTGGGGCCTTCGTAGTGGTGAGTGTTGGGGCCTTCGTAGTGGTGAGTGTTGGGGCCTTCGTGGTGGTGAGGTTTGGGGCCTTCGTAGTGTTGAGGATTGGGGCCTTCGTAGGGGTGAGGGTTGGGGCTTTCGTAGTGGTGAGGTTTGGGGCCTTCGTAGGGGTGAGTGTTGGGGCTTTCATAGTGGTGAGGTTTGGGGCCTTCGTAGTGTTGAGGATTGGGGCCTTCGTAGGGGTGAGGGTTGGGGCCTGGTTCCTTCGTAGTTGTAAGGGTTGGGGCATATGGCCCTGTTAGTGGTGAGGGTTGGGGACTTCATTGTGGTCAGTGTTGTGGCTTGGAGCCTTCGTAGTGCTGAAGGTCGGGGCCTGGGCTTTCGTAGTGGTGAGAGTTGGGGCCTTCGTAGTGGTGAGGGTTGGGGCCTTCGTGGTGGTGAGGGTTGGGGCCTTCGTAGTGGTGAGGGTTGGGGCCTTCGTGGTGGTGAGGTTTGGGGCCAACACAACCCAACCCAACCCAACTCAAATCAAACCAACACAACTCAACCCAGCACAACTCAACCCAACACAACTCAACCCAACACAACTGAACAACCTAACACAACTCAACCCAACACAACTGAACAACCCAACACAACTCAACTCAACACAACTCAACTGAACAACCCAACACAACCCAACACAACTCAACCCAACACAAGCGAGGTATCTGTTTCTGATCAGACCGTAGATCCCAGAATAACTAGGGTCAGGTTGATGAGTGAGGACTCTGAAGACCACCACTCTAGTCCAGTTTGACCCAGACAGACAGACAGACAGACAGACAGACAGACAGACAGACAGACAGACAGACAGACAGACAGACAAACAGACATACCCCTGTGGATATGTTTATGTGAGTGCTACTGCTTGAGTGCATTCATGGCCGGCACTTTCGGCTCTGCAGATAAGCCCCATGCTGTGCTGGACCTGGATCCATTTCGGCCTGGACAATCCAGCTGTGACCCAGCCGGCCAAAAGCCAATAGAAAGCTGGATGCAACAGGCTGGATGCTGGATGCAACAGGCTGGATGCTGGATGCAACAGGCTGGATGCTGGATGCAACAGGCTGGATGCTGGATGCAACAGGCTGGATGCTGGATGCAACAGGCTGGATGCTGGATGCAACAGGCTGGATGCTGGATGCAACAGGCTGGATGCTGCATGCATCACCAGTAGCTATGGATGGTTTGCCAAATAGAGTTTTTGGATCTGCTTCAGATCCTTTAATGAGATAAAGGATACCGTGCTGAGTTATTATCAGTTTCCTTCATGTCAGCAGTGACAGCTAAACCACACGGCGTGTGGTGAGGTAATCTAGTCAGAACATCAGCTCAGGCATATGTGGTCTGTTCAATGAGTACATTCTCAGGGTGCTTACGTCGGCTTGGTTACAGAGCAACGAGGACCTAAATACAACGTGGTTGAAAGTCGGGGTGGGGTTTTGCGGCTTCAACTGTAAAATGGCAAAAAGGCCGCCCTACACACCTGTTTTGCTCTCAAAACCTTAATACAAATAAATGTTTGCTTATTGAAAGCAATATGAGGCAACAACTTTTTATCCTGTTACATTTGTGACTGGAGAGTGATGCAGAGCTAATACAGTATACTCTCTTCACTGTGCTCAAGTCTTTACTAAAGATAAGTACGACTGTATTGTTAAACACACCTGCCAATTTGTCCTTTTACAGTCCTGTGAGCATGGAGAACATTGAGAGGTTGTAGTGGTGTGAGCACATGTACACTTGGCTCCCCAGGGAGCTATATTGGTGTGTATTTAGCATGTATGTGTGTGTGTGTGCCCATATTGAGGCATTCAGTATTGACAGAACCTTTAATCTTTCAACAGCAGTTAAGGTGCTTCTGCCTTATAAAGGAGCGTGTGTGTTAGTGTGTAAGAGTGTGAATGCCCTTCGCAGTAGCCCGTTGGACATCAGCTGTCTGCAGGAGCTGTATCCGAGCGGTAGCCCTCTCCTCTCCTCTCACCCTGGTCCACTCAGCCAGCCACACGGCCCTCCTGTCTGCAGGAGCTGTATCCGAGCGGTAGCGCTCTCCTCTCCTCTCACCCTGGTCCACTCAGCCAGCCACACGGCCCTCCTGTCTGCAGGAGCTGTATCCGAGCGGTAGCGCTCTCCTCTCCTCTCACCCTGGTCCACTCAGCCAGCCACACGGCCCTCCTGTCTGCAGGAGCTGTATCCGAGCGGTAGCGCTCTCCTCTCCTCTCACCCTGGTCCACTCAGCCAGCCACACGGCCCTCCTGTCTGCAGGAGCTGTATCCGAGCGGTAGCGCTCTCCTCTCCTCTCACCCTGGTCCACTCAGCCAGCCACACGGCCCTCCTGTCTGCAGGAGCTGTATCCGAGCGGTAGCGCTCTCCTCTCCTCTCACCCTGGTCCACTCAGCCAGCCACACGGCCCTCTGAATCAGCTGTCTGCAGGAGCTGTATCCGAGCGGTAGCCCTCTCCTCTCCTCTCACCCTGGTCCACTCAGCCAGCCACACGGCCCTCTGATGCAAGTCCCAGCTGCAGCAAGGCAAGGTGAGGACATGGGGACACTCGCACAACCTGAGATCCACCACTACGCTAATTGGCACATGCTTGCAAGTCACATGCCGGTTGTGTGCATGGGTGTTTGTGTGTGTGTTTGTTTGTTGCAATTTGTGTGCATGTTGGTTGTGTTCAAGACCAATGGGATCCTCTACTAAAAAAGGTAAGACAGGCAACCATGAATCATCAATGAGTCCGTTTTCTCAAACAGTGTTTTGGTTGATGTAATTTTTAAAACTTGAGTATGTAGTGCCAAATGCAATGAAGAAATAGCAGATTTGTGAAATCATAGCTTTTGTTATGCATATCATATGGGTATGAGATTTGTATACATACTTAGACACCAATTCTATTATGTATATACGCCTATAAAACGTGCATTAATACGTCTTGCAAAACATAATTATATTTATTGATAATGCATGATAAATCATATTATGACAGAAATACTAAAAGTAGTCTAAATTTATAAGTTTAGAACTTAGCAATATTGAATGTGAAAAACTATCAATTGTGATTGTGAAACACACATTGCTTCCTTTTGTTTAATACTTTAAAGATTGGAAATAAATGTAAAAAATAGTGCTCCTACAAAATCAGTTCTAATGTTATTTATTTTTGTTATTGCATAGATTTCATTTAAATGTTTGATGCTACGTTCAAACATTAAATGAAATCTATGAAATAAGAAAATTAAATAACATTGGAACTGATTTTGTAGGAGCACTATTTTTAATGTTTATTGACAATTGTGAAATAAACTGTACATACAGTATGCATCCGTTTCAGAACATTTTATTATACACTAATTCAAAATAACTCATTTGGGGTAACTCATTTTAAGTCCAACAGAATTTGATATTATTACTGTAATAGTTCACATTATTTACATAGGCAATTATAATAACTGTTTTTGATTAATTGAATGTATCTTTACTGTCTACATTTTAATTAGGCATTTACAGCATACTGCTACAATTACAGCGACATGTTCTTTCACCACACAGTACTGTATAATGGGATAATATTTTACTGATTAGGTTTGTTATGAATCAGTGTTGCTGTGTTTTCAGCAGTCAGTGTGATTATTTGCTATTTTATTTTACCTCAGCCTTCACAAAATATAAACATAATAAGATAACCATGACATCCAGAATATATGTTCAGACTCCAAGTAATCCACCCTGTCATCAAATACTCCACTGATAATTCTGAACACCTGCAACAAGTCTACAAAACATTTAATCTAATCCCATTGATGTGTTTCACGCCATGTGATACTGTAAAATGGTAGGTTTTGTAGTATTATTATTATTATTTTTGGTCATTTAGCAGATGCTCTTAACCAGAGCGACTTACAGTTAGTGATTGCATACATTATTTTTTCATTATTATTATTATTATATATTTTTTTTTATACTGGCCCCCCGTGGGAATCGAACCCACAACCCTGGCGTTGCAAATGCCATGCTCTACCAACTGAGCTACATCCCTGCCGGCCATTCCCTCCCCTACCCTGGACGATGCTGGGCCAATTGTGCGCTGCCCCATGGGTCTCCCGGTCTCGGCCGGCTATGACAGAGCCTGGATGAGTGTGTTGTATTAGTGTGTACGAGTGAGCGTGGTACAGAGACTGGGTGGCCCAGTGGCTATGGATGCATCTCTTTTCTCGAGATTGTCGTTGTGGTTCACCCCATATTGACTGTCAATTCATTATTAGGATTTTCTTGATATATACATATATTTGTCCAAAAAATTGATCTCTGTTGTGTTGGTATAAAATTGGTATATCTGCAGATGTAGAATCGTATCACCCTGATGCAGGAGATCTTTCCTACAATGCAGGAAATGTAAAACTTGTAGTGTATTTGAGGTTAAATAGGCTTTTGAAGTTTGTAATGTCCAATTTGAAATTTCAGACATTATTTTCCCTTAAGAAAAAACGTATATCAACCCCTACAAAAAGGTCCGTTAATTATAATCCACATAATAATTTACATTTCCTGTTACTGCAGTATTATTTTCCTGCTGTAGAAAACCAGCTCAAATTAAAGATCCTACATCTGTTGCGTGTTTACATCAATACTTGTTTGTTGTGAATTGTACAGAGGCATTGATTGGACCATAACAATCATTAACCCATGGCTCTCTGATTGTCAGATTTGAGAGACAGAGAGAGAGAGAGATGATGGAGCTGGGCCTTGCAGATGGGAGCCTGGTCGATGAGATGATGGAGCTGACGGTGCGGCGCCTGAGCCACCTGGAGATTCAACATCATCAAAGAGATCAACATCATCATGGAGATCGGCCGGGGGAGGTATGGCAAGGTGTTGCTGGTCACCCGTCGCTGCAGGGGTAAGTAGCCTACTCATAGTTTCATAGGTTGAAATACTATACGCTTTTCTTTGGTTCAATGACACCATTAATGATTAATTGATTTCACGTAACTTGAAAGTGGTTGAAATGTTTCATATCAAATGATTCTTAGAATTGGCTTCCTAGTGTGGTGGACTTCCAATTCTGGCAGAAAAATCAGCTGATATCATTTATACTGTCTGCTATATCTACACTGTTGTCTACTGTGTTTTCTACAGTGGTCTACAGTGGTCAAAACATTGCCTATGGTCATAACATTTTGCCAAGTTGTTACAAAAATGCAAGCTGTCCTGATAAAGCCTTTATAGACACTAATACAATGTATTCTGTCTTCTAACTGGACGGACAGTTTCTGGTCAAAAACCTAATATGGTCAGTGGTCACTTTTGGAAAGTTGTTATGAAAATGTAAATAGAAACTATGGATGTTTTGCAGGAACACCGATGGCTTTGAAGGTGATACCAAAAGCCTCCACCAAGCTCCAGGGATTCCTGCGGGAGTACTGCATCTCCTTGCACCTGTCCTGCCACCACTGCATTGTGGGTCTTTTCGGAATCGCCTTCCAATCCAATGAGCACTATTGCTTTGCCCAGGAGCTTGTTATTGGGAGGGACCTTTTTGCCGTCATCCAACCGAAAGTAAGAGAGTAAATTTAACTCATTGTTTGATTTTGATATAGTAAATTATTTGACCTATAAAGTGTTTTAGAATAAAATTACAATGTGCATGTTATCAATGTTTACCCCTTTGAGTGTCCATAAACTCAATGTGTTGTCAAAAAAAATCCATATGGACTGTACAGTCTTCTAATTCACATGTTAGACAGGTACAATGATCGCAGAAGAAATGGTGTGTAGCCATGATGCAAGGCATACTATCAACAACCACTGTGTGGGTGTGCATTGCATTATGGGTAGCGTAAGCTTTATGTTATTAACACAAACAACACACCACTCCTCTGTTCCCAGCTAGGCATCACAGAGTGTGCAGTGAAGCGCTGTGTCCTGCAGATCACCAGTGCCCTGGAGTTAATCCACGAGCACGGCCTGGTCCACCACGGCATCAAGCCTAAGAACATCCTGCTGCTGGACGGGTCAAGCTGGCCAACTTCGGCATGGCCCAGACGAGAGGCACTCTGATCCGCTTCATTTCCGACACGCTGCCATACATGGCCCCGGAGCTGTGTGCCGTAGCCCTGGAGGATGGCCAGAAAGAGGTGCGGGTGCCCCCGCTCAACGTGGAGACAAGCCTGGACACCTGGGCTTTCAGAGTGGTCATCTTCTGCATCCTCACTATCTACTTCCCCTGGGAGCGCTGCGTGGCCTCACACGACTTCTACCAGGAGTTTGCTGATTGGTGCCATGCGCCCACCGTGGAGGAAGTCCCGCCACTGTGGAAGAGATTTACCCCGGCTGTCATGGAGATGTTCAGCAGGCTGTTGGAGCTGGATGCTAGCAAGAGTTGCACGGTAGGGAAGGTCAGGTCCTATGTGGAAAAGGACTGGGTGACGCCGATGCTAGTAGTCTCAAATGGACAGCAACCGGAGAATGCAAGGCCAGTGTCACCTGCTCCACCCCTAGTGTGTGTAGGAGTAGTCCTGTCCACGAGGAGGTAAAGGTCCTCAGTTAACTGAGATATGTGTACATCACTTCCAGCTCTGGTATCCACTATGCAGGGAGCACAAGGTGCGCATTCAACACCACTCTTACAATGCACTGATAACTAAGGTACATTAATTATTCTCAATGTCTGGTGTAAGTTCGGAGAGTCACACAAGGACTACATTTGCAGTGAAGGGGGAGCTCTGTCCATGTGATAGGAGCAGATGATAAGAGTGTAAAGGAGGAGCAGCACTAGTGGAGTGAGTTCCAAACACTCTGTGGCTGTACTGAACTCTTAGCAAAAAGGGTTCAAAAGGGTTCTTTGGCTGTCCCCATAGGAGAACCCTTTTTGGTTCCAGGTAGAACCCATTTGGGTTTCATGAAGAACCCTTTCCTCAGAGGGTTCTACATGGAACCCAAATGTGTTTTTACCTGGAACCAAAAATAGTTATTCAAAGGGTTCTCCCATGGGGACAGCCAAATTACCATTTTAGGTTCTAGATAGCATCTTTTTTTCTAAGAGTGCATACTGTGTGTACCTACACAATATTGGTAACCTGGAGAATGTAAAAATGTAACACAAGAGCATGTACTTACTGTAGCATAGGAGCAGCAAATGCTATACTGTGTGTAAGTACACAATATTGGTAACCTGGATAATGTAACATAGAGCTTGTACCTACTGTAGCATACACTCTTAGAAAAAAGGTTTCCAAAAGGGTTCTGCGGCTGTCCCCATAGGATAACTATTTTTGGTTACAGGTAGAAACTTATTTGGTTACAGGTAGAACTCTTTTGGGTTCCATGTAGAACCCTTTCCACACAAGGTTCTACATCGAACCCAAAAGGGTTCTACCTGGAACCAAAACTGGTTCTTAAAAGGGTTCTCATATGGGGACAGCCCAATTACCCTTTTTGGTTCTAGATAGCTGCTCCTACACTTGGAAAAAGACGTGAGGCTGTAATCGCTGCCAAAGGTGCTTCAACAAAGTACTGAGTAAAGGTTCTGAATACTTATGTAAATGTGATAGTTCCGTTTTTTATTTTCAATACATTAGCAAACATTTCTAAAAACCTGTTTTCGCTTTGTCATTATGGGGTGTTGTGTGTAGATTGATGAGATAATAATTTTTTAAAATATATTTTAGAATAAGTGTCACGGATTCAGCCGAGGCTGCTCCTCCTCCTTGCTCCGGCAGGCTTCGGCGTTCGTCGTCCCCGGAGTACTAGCTGCTGCCGATCTATGTTTCGGTGTTTGTCTTGTTTGGCCTTATTGTTTACACCTGTTTCCCATTATGTTTTATTGTGTTCCCTTTATAACCCTCTGTTTCTCATTGTGTATTGTGCGTAATTGTTTTGGTCTTTTCGGCAGTTGCCCATGTGTGCGGGTTGTATCGTTCCTCTCTGTATGAGGTTTCCTTTGTACTTTGGACTTGCACTGTATCCAGTAAAGTATCTGCCAGTAGCGCTGTGTCCTGCTCTTGACTTCGCCTACCGCATACACGTCGCTTTGACAGAATTATGCACCATAAGACATGGAGTCAGCAGGAGCGGCGGTGCCAGCTGGATCAATGGAAGAGCGCGTAGAACAACAAGCGGCCATGATCCAGGCTCTCGGCACCGCCATGGAACGGGTGGTGAACACCATGGAGCGATGGGAAAGAAGAGGTTTGCCTACACCTCCTCCGACGATACCACCACCATCAGCTTTGCCCATCGCTTCATCTCCGGGGTCCAGTGGGATTCGGCTCTCGCTCCCGAGGGCTTATGATGGCACAGCTGCCGGGTGTCAGGGTTTCCTGGTCCAGGTGGAATTCTACCTGGCAAAAATCCACCCGGCGCCCTCGGGATACGAGAGCATGTCCGCCCTCATCTCCTGTCTGTCCGGCAAGGCGCTGGAGTGGGCCAACGCCGAGTGGGGGGGAATAGACGCCGCTACTGTCAACTATGCAGAGTTCACCCGCCGCTTCAGGGCAGTATTCGATCATCCACCAGAGGGTAAAGCGGCGGGTGAGCGTCTATTCTACCTCCGACAGGGGAAGAGGAGCGCGCAGGAGTTCGCACTGGACTTCCGGACGCTGGCTGCCAACGCGAGATGGAATGAGAGGGCCCTCATCGACCACTACAGATGTAGCCTGAGGGAGGACGTGCGTCGGGAACTGGCCTGCAGGGAACCAACCTAAACTTCGATCAACTGGTGGACATGTCGATTCGCCTGGACACCCTGTTGGCTACCCGTGGACGTCCAGACTCGGGGCCGTCCATTCCATCCCCCAGCACCTCCGAGCTGACCCCTATGGAGCTCGGAGGTGCTGGTACTAGGAGAGAGACCAGGAGAGAGGCCGTCCCCTGCACCAACTGTGGCCGCAGAGGACACACTGCTGGTCAGTGCTGGGGAGGGTCTCCTCGGAATCGAGGCAGTAGGCCGCGCACTGATGAGTCATTCCAGGTGAGTAGGCGCCCAACTCACCCAGAGCTCCCTGTTGCGCATATGTGTATTAAAGTTGTGTTTCCCGAGGTTTCTCCTCATTCCCAGCATAAGGCGCTAGTCGATTCAGGCGCAGCTGGGAATTTTATCGATCGCCAGTTCACCCATAAGGTAGGGATTCCTATTGTTCCAGTGGATGTGCCCTTCCCTATCAATGCCCTAGATAGCCGCTCTTTGGGGTCTGGGTTGATTAGGGAGGTCACGGCGCCTCTCAGGATGAAAACGCAGGAGGGCCATGAGGAGATAATTTGTTTGTATTTGATTGACTCTCCTGCGTTTCCCGTGGTGTTGGGGCTTCCCTGGTTAACGTCTCATGACCCCAACATTACATGGCAACAGAGGGCTCTCAAGGGATGGTCTGATCAGTGTGTCGGGAGGTGTGTGGGTGTTTCCGTAGGGGCCACGACGGTGGAAAGTCCGAACCAAGTTCCCACCATGCACATTCCACCTGAATATGCCGATTTGGCTCTCAATTACCACCCCATTGACAGGGGGATTGTGCGATAAACCTCCAAGTAGGCGCTGCGCTTCACCGTAGTCATGTGTATCCTCTGTCTCAGGAGGAGACGGCGGCTATGGAAACATATGTCGCCGAATCGCTGAGACAGGGATACATACGGCCGTCCACTTCCCCTTATTTTTTGTGAAGAAGAAAGATGGGGGTTTACGCCCGTGTATTGACTACCGTGGTCTCAATCAGATCACCATCAAATACAGCTATCCGCAGCCGCACACAAGCGTAAGATCACAATGCGCAATGCCAAGCGTTGGCTGGAGTGGTGTAAAGCTCGCCGCCATTGGACTCTGGAGCAGTGGAAACATGTTCTCTGGAGTGATGAACGCTACCTGGCCTAATGCATAGTGCCAACTGTAAAGTTTGGTGTAGGAGGAATAATGGTCTGGGGCTGTTTTTCATGGTTCGGGCTAGGCCCCTTAGTTCCAGTGAAGGGAAATGTTAACGCTACAGCATACAATGACTTTCTAGATGATTCTGTGCTTCCAGCTTTGTGGCAACAGTTTGGAGAAGGCATGAGAATGCCCCATTGCAACAAAGCGAGGTCCATACAGAAATGGTTTGTCGAGATCGGTGTGGAAGAACTTGACTGGCCTGCACAGAGCCCTGACCTCAACGGCATTCAACATCTTTGGGATGAATTGGATCGCCGACTGCGAGCCAGGCCTAATCGCCCAACATTAGTGCCCAACCTCACTAATGCTCTTGTGGCTGAATGGAAGCAAGTCCCCGCAACAATGTTCCAACATCCAGTGGAAAACATTCCCAGAAGAGTGGAGGCTGTTATAGCAGCAAAGGGGGGACCAACTCCATATTAATGCCCATGATTTTGGAATGAGATGTTCGACGAGCAGGTGTCCACATACTTTTGGTAATGTAGTGTATATGCGAGAACATGTCTCTTCGTGGTAAACAGGTTATTGCGGTTCACTTCCAGGAAACTACAGAGATTAATTATCAGTCTTTTCACAGGTCCCTCAAATGGTATAGGGGTTTATCTGGTATTGATGAGACTACAGTGGGGAAAAAAAGTATTTAGTCAGCCACCAATTGTGCAAGTTCTCCCACTTAAAAAGATGAGAGAGGCCTGTAATTTTCATCATAGGTACACATCAACTATGACAGACAAAATGAGAAAAGAAAATCCAGAAAATCACATTGTAGGATTTTTAATGAATTTATTTGCAGATTATGGTGGAAAATAAGTATTTGGTCAATAACAAAAGTTTCTCAATACTTTGTTATATACCCTTTGTTGGCAATGACACAGGTCAAATGTTTTCTGTAAGTCTTCACAAGGTTTTCACACACTGTTGCTGGTATTTTGGCCCATTCCTCCATGCAGATCTCCTCTAGAGCAGTGATGTTTTGGGGCTGTCGCTGGGCAACACGGACTTTCAACTCCCTCCAAAGATTTTCTATGGGGTTGAGATCTGGAGACTCCAGGACCTTGAAATGCTTCTTACGAAGCCACTCCTTCGTTGCCCGGGCGGTGTGTTTGGGATCATTGTCATGCTGAAAGACCCAGCCACGTTTCATCTTCAATGCCCTTGCTGATGGAAGGAGGTTTTCACTCAAAATCTCACGATACATGGCCCCATTCATTCTTTCCTTTACATGGATCAGTTGTCCTGGTCCCTTTGCAGAAAAACAGCCCCAAAGTATGATGTTTTCACTCCTATGCTTCACAGTAGGTATGGTGTTCTTTGGATGCAACTCAGCATTCTTTGTCCTCCAAACACGACGAGTTGAGTTTTTACCAAAAAGTTCTATTTTGGTTTCATCTGACCATATGACATTCTCCCAATCCTCTTCTGGATGCACTCTAGCAAACTTCAGACGGGCCTGGACATGTACTGGCTTAAGCAGGGGGACACATCTAGCACTGCAGGATTTGAGTCCCTGGCGGCGTAGTGTGTTACTGATGGTAGGCTTTGTTACTTTGGTCCCAGCTCTCTGCATGTCATTCACTAGGTCCCCCCGTGTGGTTCTGGGATTTTTGCTCACCGTTC